TTGCATTAATTTTAATTCATCCTTTTGATAACATTAATAACAAAGAAGTCAGTCTTATCAGGGGTAAGAATCAAGAAGGATTAAGAAGCTGAAGCATGTGGGACAGAATGGAGCATGAATCAGGTCGGCCAGATGGAAAATCAAATTATGAAGAGAGAGGAGTAGGGGGTAGCTCATTTAATAGTGAAGAATGAAATTGATGAATTTTGTGGGACTTCACACACTATCAGACTTGCCTTCAGATATCCCAGCTTTTTCTGAGAGGCCCTGTGAGCACAGGCACTGCAGTTCTGGTACTGATGACACAGAGGGAGGTGGCTGTTGTTCCTGTAGTGTGTGAAACTGGGAGCAGGTCATGCATGGTTGCCATGGCAAGATCACATGCCATGAGCCTGTGCTGGACTTGGGATGCCTAAGTGTTCAGGGATGCCTCGAGTGAAAGGAGAGGAGGTTCATGACCTAGCTCCAAGCCTTTTCCCACCCATTCCATGGGGCAGTGGTGCTACAGATTAAGGAAAATATGCTTCACCTCCCACCTGTCACTCCTCCTCCCCAGGACCCCCCCTGCCTGTTCTCTGGAGATACATGCTGACCTTCTTGCCCTTGGCCACAAGGAAACTTTCTTAAGTGGCCTGGAAGAAGTAGCTGAAGTTGATGGGTATCACACAACCGAGGGCAAAGACAAGCCACCAGTTTCTGGGTGCTGTTCTGGCCACATTAACTTGAAACAGAGACTGAGTTTTTAGCATGTTACTATTCATAATGGAATTTTCTAAACATTGAAGGGCAGTTAGTGACAAGCCCCAGTGAACATCAGTGAGGACTAGACACAACTCTCAGCTGCATCTCCCTTCTGCATCACTTACAGGGCTGACAGAAAGCTAAATCAGGGAAGAGGTAGACTAAGGAGTGTTGCTGGGGTGAGTAGGAATAAGAAAGGGAGAGGAGCAACAGCAGAACATACCCATATCTTTGGGTTAAAGGAATATTATATTGACAGGGATTGGCAATCAGCAGTGGGAAGTATGGATGAAGGAAAACACTTCTTTGTGGTTCCGTGGTTATGCAAAATTTTTTAAACAAAAGAATATTTCATGTAATTGCAGATTTCATATGTTGAAATCAGTTGTTGCTTCATTAGAGTGTTTTCAGTGTGGCTGGTCAATTTGCAGATATATAGATATATTGGTGTATACATATGTATATATGTATTTTATTTTTGGGGGGAATCCATGCAGTGTTTCTCTGACTTCTAGTGTTATGTTTAAAATAGCATGATGGCTGTTACTATAATACAGCTTTATCATGTGCACTATTTAAGTCTGCCAAAATAAATGGGGATGTAAAGGAAAGAGAGGGATGGTGGCTGACTGAGTAATGTTCAAACTGTCAAATTTCTCATGAACAAATTAGCTGATCCTAATCTAGTTGACATTGGGAAACCATCCAGGATTTTTTTTATTATTATTATTTGGGGTTTTTGATATAAGATGACTTTTTATTGGAACTGAAACAACTGCTTCCTTGGCTCTGATTACATCCTTCCTCACCACAGAGTGCTTGGTAGGGCAAGCAGGATGAAGTCTTATACTTATGCATCCTGCCTGTGCATCAAGACAAAGGGTTTGAGGAATAGGATAAGAAAAAACTCTTTGCTGAAGGCAGCCTGGAGAAGAAAGCCTATGGTAGGCTGATGCAGATGTGAGAATGCTAAAGCTTTGCAAGAGGGTTAGGTTGGAGCTGGGCCATTCCATCATACAAAAACAGTCACAATTTTGTCATGATCCTTCTGAAACTGGGCCTTTCCCATCTTCTTGGAATAATTATGTGCTCTTATTTTGTCCTTGAACATCTGGGAATCAAAACCCTGACAACAAATGCCCAGAAGATAAGTTCTGATGTAAAAGACTTCTGTTGTTGCGTGGGTGAGCTGTGCCAGTTTTAAATTGTCATGGGAAATCTCTGGATGTGCATATGATATGTTTAAATGTGGTGCCTGGGAGAGCTCTTCAGAAGTCTGTTCAAGTTTTGTTCCTGTTCCAGTTTCAGCAGGCTGGTCTACCAGCTTGGCTTTCTGGTTGAAGAATGAACAATTTGTTACTTAAATACCTTTGGGTTACAGATTAAAAGTGAGGTTTGGCTAAGTATCAGTGGATGGTTGCTGGATGCTGGGGAACTAAAAGACGACAACCAGAGGGAAAAGAAGGAAACTCATGTCTTCTGTTCAGAAACAAAGAGAAAAAAGAAAACCCTTTAAAAGGGAAAATTAAGAGTTACAGCAGCCACATATTAGAGCTAATTGCCCGGACACTTTACGAAATTTGATTTCTGTGTGGGGGAACTTAATTTGCTCTTGGCAACAGGGTAGAATGCTTAATTCAACTTAACAAAAATACGTTTTTTGAAAGAGGAAACAAGACTGACAGAATTTTGGCATGTCAACAAAAGGCAAGAATACAAAAAGAAAAGGATTAGTGAAAAGAAGATCAAGAAAGGATCAAAAATATATTGGCTAGAGTCCAGGAAACATTTGTTACATTTTATAAGCAAAGCTATTCTTCCAAAGTGTGTAGAACAGAGGAACTAGCTGATCTTTACCTAAAGCGATATTGGCCACCCTGTGTGCTAATGAACAGATGTCCCAATAGGAATCAGAAAAGCGTTGATCTCCCTATGGTAACTGAAATGGCATAAACTGCCAGGTCTACATGCATTTTCCTAAATGGAAAATTCAGTAAGGACTTGGACATTTAGACTGATTTATAAGTAAACAGCACTGCCCAAATATTTAATATAATACACTAAAATGATTTTACGTTTAGTAAAAGCTTTCTTGTTTTTTACTTGCATTTCTTGCAACATAAGGACCTGAGCCACTCCATAAAATGGCTAGGCCTAATAGGAGGAGAATATTTTTTCAATGTGATGTCCAAGTCTACTGTGGCAAAGCCAGTGCCAGAGGACAGCAAGAAAGTCAATATATAGATTAGTTAAAAGACATCAGTCAAATCAACACAGGGTGGATTCATCAGGAGGTTTCAAATTGAGAGACCTCTCATTTGCTAGTGGCCAATGCAGACGTTGAATACTGAGCTAGACCAGTCTTAGGTGTCACTCAGAACAAATATTTTTATAGTCTACTCTTGCACTACTAAGACCTGATTTTGTATCTGCCATGTTATTCTAACAAACAACTTGGGAAAAATTTATTCTTAGCGGCTATTCCCAGGTGAGGCTTGGTAACTAAATAAATAAGCATTCTGTTATGAAGTCAAACAGATTAGTTCAAGGCAGGCTCAGGTTGTTTCACTTAGTAGTAAGCCTCCTCAATATTCCACTGAAAGGGACTAGGAGTGTTCACAGGGTCAGCAATAATACAAGCAACAAATTATCCCAAACCTGATGGTTTTTTTCAGGTGGTTACAATCACTGACGTATGCCTTGAAGCAGAATAAAAATTCAGAGCAGAATTACTGGAAAAATTATATGACTGTTGGTGCTGCCCACCCAAAATTTTCATGTTACCTGTGTGTAATAAGATACAGAATGATCAGAGTAAAAAAATTCTTCCTGTGGTATAAACTAGGAAGGGTATAATTTATTTTATTCAATTCATTTCTCTGCAAAGCAAATTAAAATTGAATGAATTTCCAAAACTATTCAAAGCTATTACAAAACTGTATTATGTCAATTTTCAAAAGTGTTGCCTGCAAAATTTGTATGAATACCTTGATACTTCTAGGGTACATTTTTGCCTTGCCTAAATTCAGATCAGCTGGGGAAAAAAAACATTTAGGACAGAAAACTGTGGGAACTGTCAAAAGGACTAGTAATTGTAGCCCAGAGTCTTTCACTGCTAAACTGTGTCCACATGGACACTGCTAAATGTGTCAAATAACTTTGATTTAGCTAAACTCAAACGACCCACAACTGTCTCTTTCTGATATGGAAAAAACATTTTTTTTTTGTTTTCACTTTGTATTACCTCATTTGGAAAGGGATTCATGCTTGACTGGGAAGAACATTCTCATACCTGACAGAAAGTTCAAGCTATTTTTATCTGAGCAATGATACTGGTGAAAGCAATCGACTCAACCTTCCTGTGAACGTAAGGCAGGAATCAGAGCTCAAAGGCCATGGAAGTAACCAAGAGCCATAATCTGGTGGCATTCCAGTGGTCTGTTAGCATGGGTTCTGACCAGTTCCTGGGAGATGACCATCACCACCAGGATTCCAATTAATTTACAGTCTGAGGTAGAGCAGTCAAGATTGATTCTCTGCACTCTGAAATGGCCTTCCAAGATATGAGGAGCAAGTAATGTAAGCAATCCTACTCACTAGAGCCCACTGGTATGGCTGTTTAGAGGCCCAAAAAGAAGAAAACTAAATCACAGGTTTTTGATATGAAATGTTACCCAAAGTTTTTATTCACAAAGAGAAAAAAAAGTTTTTGAAACAACTAGAGATTGTTATGATTGTTATCAGTTTTAAAAATGGCAGTGAATCATCAGAAGTCACCTGCAGTGACTCATACTGTGGTCACAGCTTTCATATGTCAAACAGGTATTTTTCTCAAAGAATACCTTCTCATGTTTCTTTGTTTATAGTCAGTTATTCAGGATATGTCTTTGTCTTTAGTCTTCTCCACGAGTCCATACTATGAAGATACTCTCTTCAGTCCGTCAGACTAGCTAATTGTGCAACACCATGTTCTGTACCTCTTCTGGTTCAGCTATTGTAAGCTTTGGATAGTCAAAGACAGCTCAACTCACCTTTGGTTTACAGTGTGTAGGTACACATGAACTCTCCTGCTGATTGCCATGGGATGGGTTGTGTGGGCTTCTGTCCAAGCACTGGGAGCAGATTCTCTGCCTCCTGCAGTCTGGCCTTAAGTCCAGTGCCCACCAAAGCCCACTCACGTTTGACTTCACCAAGCTTTGGACCTGGATACTCCTTTGGGGTGTAGAAGCCATACTGTCATTTGACAATGTCCTCTAAAACATTGTCAGAATGCTTTTAGTTGTCTGGAGCAATGCTAAGACACTTGTAAGAAGAAGGATGCAGTTGTGCTCCAGACTTCCTTCTTAGCTCCTGCCTTTACTAACCACCTGTTCAATGGCAGTTCTTCGAGGTTCAACAGCAACTAGGTGGGTAGGATTTAATTTTCCTGTAATGCACTATTTAGTATGTTACCATGCTACTTTCTTCAGGATATACACCTAAAACCACTTCACCCCATTTTCAATAACACCTGTGAATTATTCAATAGAATTTTTTATTATGACTGTACTCAGTCTCTGGGGAAGAGAGAGTCTTGCTGCTGATTTTAAAGATGACTTTCCATTTGGCATAAGTTTTAGTATTCTTTTCTGTGTTGTATATAACATGCCTGTTTTAGGAATTTTTCATTGTTTTTACTATTAGTGAAGAATAGTACCAAATAAATGTGTTATATTAATGTTACTCCTTACAGACACATTTGGAAGATGTGACCATGTATAATGAAAGGACCAGAGTTTCTCTGAATACTTCCTTAAAAATTAAAATCTTTAAAAAAACATTTTTTAAAGTTGCTGTAGAATTTTTTTTAAGAAATTCATTACTGGTTAATTTTAATGGTGTTCATAATATGAACTTATGGGGAAGACTAAAGACAAAGAAATATCCTGAATAGCTGAATATAAACAGAGAAACATGAGAAGGCATTCTTGGAGAAAAATACCTGTTTGACATATGAAAACTCTGACCACAGGTAACCACTTCTTTTTAGAGGAATTGACTGCTTGTGTGGTGATTTGGGGAGGAATACTCTTTACCAGTACAATACGGTCTGTTACACAGGAAGCCTGATACTTTATAAAGGTTCAATTTAAAATCAAAATATTAAAGCTGTAATGCAGTTTTGCCAGTAGCCACACTTCTCCCTCCTGGCATTTTTGGAGAAATCAAGGGTTTGCAACAGGTGGAGTTAGCATGTCTTGGAAAGTTCCTGGGGCACCACAGTGTTTCAGCTGGGCAGAGGGGTCAGGAGCACGGGCTAATGTACAGCAGTAACCAGGCTGACTCCTATGGCCCTTGCTAATGCTAAGTCTTGTTTACAGTTTTGTCCTTTGTTCAACTCTCCAGGGCTTACATACATAGAGTAGCACTTGAAGGAGTGGCTGGCCTTGAGGAAGCAGTCATTTTGAGACTCCTCTTCTGGTATGTTAGAACAAAACTGTGGAGACTTTTAACAGTGTGGTCTATGGATGTGTTATCTCTGTTCTGTTTGACAGGCTTTTGATGCTGTGATGACTCATAAAAAAAAAAAAGAGTTGGCAGAGAAGCCACGATGGGCCATGTGCCCCACTGGTGATAGCAATGAAAAAACAATGTCTCGGACAAAAAGTTTGTCTCAGCCTTTGTTTCAGAAGATACCTTTTGTTATCACTCTTTGCTTTGAAATATATATTTGCACAATTAATTATGCTCAATTTTGGTCTTGTACTAATATATTAAAACACTTCTGTGACGGTTATTCTTTTTTAATTGGACTTGAGATTTTTGTCAGTAGTCTAGAGAAAATTGACAATGCTAATCAAACTTAAATGATAATCAAATTTTCTGTGTGCCATAACTGCAAGTGCTATAATTGTACATTGTATTTGTTTATGCAAGTAAACATTTGAAATTTGTTTAGAAATTATGAATATACATATCAACATATTCCTTAGCTATTTTGTACATATACTTAATTGCATTTAAAGATGCATTTGGGGTGTTTATTCACTCATATGCTTATTGAACAGCTTACTGCATACTGAATATTTCTGATTACAGGGAGGTTCTGTATTTTTAATTTACAGGTGTTTCCATAAGCAAAGGAATTGATGGCTTCCTACAGGTTTGAATCTTTTGTGCCTTAGCCATTTTGACCTCGCTCAACAGTAATTTTTTAATGGCTGACCTGGCAAGACTGATGTGCTCTGTGGTCAGCCAGTATGTGTAGGTCCATTGGACAGCAAGGCAAATATTTATTTGAACTGCTGAGTTCTTCTTCTTTTTGCTCTTCTCTAGTATTAATGTATGAGGTATTCCACTAAGGAGTTAAATTCCAAGAAACACTTAGGATCATAATTATCTTTGAGATACTTGCCAAATTTTGAAATGTGTAGAAACTGGCTAGTGAAATCAAAAGGTATGGGGCAGGAGACAGGCAAAGGAAGAGACAGATCTCTGGACACAATCAAATGTACAATCAAATGCTCATTACCTTAGGAATTCAAGTTAAAAAAAGAAGAGGAAAATTTATGACATTTGGCTTACAATATCTACTGTAACTTTTCAACAGCTCTAGGACAGAGGTTGCCCCAGATCTATGGTTACCCTGGAATCCATGTCCTGAAATTAAGTTCAACTGAAAAAGGGACAACTAAAACAACAAACTGTTCTATGGCTCTACTGTTGCAAAGAAAACCTTCCAAATAAAGAGAAGTAAATCAAAGTTTTTTTCTACTTGGTCCTAGAGAAAGCCTGATGTAACAGAGTAGGGAAATCTTACAATCACATGATGATATGGGCTACAAATACATTATTCTCACACAGTAGTTACTCTGATCTAGCCAGAATGACCTAGAATTCTCTTTGCTTGTATTGTTTTCACCTTGAAAAAATTTTCAAAATTTCTGGTGCTTTTCTATCTCCTTGGCCTAACTTTATTCTTTTTTCACCTTTTTCTTGTTTCTAGTATTCAAGGTCTCTTAGCACCTGTTGACTGTCTCATTTCCCACAGTTTGTGTCATCATGTGATAACACCAGCTGAAGGGCTGCTTCTAAAACAACAACCACAGAAGCAGACTGTGGTTTTGAGAAAGGCACATTTTGCAGAGGGTGACATCCAACACTATCATGATGCCACCTGCATCTATATTTGAAGTAGTCTCAAAAGTAATATGAATCATGTCTAACTTTGTATAAGTGTCAGAGGTCCAGTGGAGAAATTTGAAAAGAAAATTAGCTGCTTTTATTAAGAAGTTAGTTACTAGCAAGCAAAAATAACACATTTTAAGCACTGAAATTAATTGCCTCCACTAGGATACTTTGAGGCCCTAACCATATCACCACATACCATGACTCTTACTCCTTAGCTCTTCCCCAAATATAACAGCCCCAAACTCTGTACTGCATTCCCATCCTACCTGGTGATCCCAGTAGCAGCTGTACTCGCAGAAGGTCTTTTTGTTTGAAGTTGCCCCTTATTCAAGTACTGTGAACATCTTCTTTCCTAAGACCTCATTCCCTGCCTTCAGACATATTGAGTGAAGAAGGAAGTGACACCTGCTGCCTACCTGAGAAGAAAACTCACCACCCTCATGGAAGACTTATGATTGGGCAGCAACAGTCAAAAACTCCCTCTTCCCTCCTCCAACAGCCAGACAAAACTAGGATGGTATCAGTAAGTGACTTTCAATGTTCAAATACTTCAGCTAGAAGGGTTGGGTCTTTCACATCACTGCTTTCTCCTAGAGGATATAATACTTTTTGAAAGAAAGGTACTACCAAAAAGGCCCCAAGCCATGAAAAATACTAATACTAAAAAAACAAACCAAATCAAAAGAAGCATGGATGACTACTTAAAAAATACTTTCTATTATCCCCTCACGTGAGCGGGAACAATCATTGGCCTCCTCTTCCCACCTGAACATTGAAGAAAATTCAATGACATAAAAATTAACACTATACTTGAATTCATACTGAACAGGCACCTACATAGTAGGCCTTGATATGACCACCCCCCCACCCCCACCACCTCACAGGTCAGAAAAAAGTTTGATTCTAAGACAACTTCAGAAGACAACCGTACAGTTATATACAGTATAAAATCTGTATATATCTGTATATATAAATATCTCAGATATTCAGAATAATCTGAATTATTCAGATCAGAATAATTGATTTTCCTGTAAATCCTCAGGATTTTCAATTCTCAGAATGCTACTTTGTTGTATTTTTACAATTACAGTGATCCCACAAACAATTACACCAGTTGTGAATGTCTCTGCAGATGTTACTTTCCCTGGGATGAACAACACCTGTCCATTTCCTCAGCAAGGACAGTCAGCCCAGCTAGCTGTTAGCCTGCTTTTAAGGATAGCTACCACACCACATATTTACTTGGGAGAATAAACAGGAAACAATATATGCAAGAACTGGGACGCAGGTTGGGTATGTAAGAATGCACATCTTGGAGATCCTGAAGCTATGGTATACGAGCTATGTTTATTAGATACTTAGTAGTCAAGACAAATAGATGGGAGGAGTGGAATATGTGAAGAGGGAGTGTTGCATAAATGACAGAGGAGTAAACTGTAGATGAAGAAACCTAAGACAGTGGCTGCAAGCTTAGATAAAGGTCACGGAGTTTTTCTTACACATGCAAGTAAAACAAGGTCAGAGCTCACACTCATGCACCCTTCTGCAGTTTCTGGTACTTCTACAGTTTAAGTACACTGATCCTTAAAAACTACCACTACTACTCCAGAAATTGTGTGGGTATCACAAAGTGGAAAGCATGCAATGCAAACCTTTCCCATTAGTTCTGGATAAAATAAATCTGGTTGGGATGAGGTGGTGGGGATTTTTGGATCTCGATTCAAGCCATGTCATGTGTTTTCTGGGTGAATGCACAGTTTCCAGGCTGGTTTACCTATAAATGTAGTCCAAAAGACCTGTTGTAGAAAGGGAGCCAGAACAGAGTGGCCAGGGGTTGTTGGTTGCAGGCCTCTGCCTTTTTTCCTGTCTTTCAAGCATTTACTCAAGAGATCAGGATAAAACAGTACATCTAAAAGCCATGAATCAATTCAAATAGGAACTGCTTCCGTTTACGTAGGCAGCCAGGTTATGTGGTAACGTTAAGACTCTTAATTTATAATCTTTAAAAGGATATGTATTCCTGGACAAGACAGAAAAGAATGTTTGTCAGAAAGGAACAATAAACCAGAAACCAAGTAAGTAATTCCTGTGACGATGAAATCTATCTCAAGGTTAAAGGTAGTTCCATTATAACTGAATGCTGGAACTAAGTTGTAAATCAGCAGGAACTTGTGTGTGGGTTATAAATGAGCATAAAGTATTGTCTTCCAGCTCTCACTGCTGATACCAGGAAAAGCCTTACAGTCTTCACTGGCTGTTGAAAGAAGAGTAATGAAGTGTAGTATTTCTAGTTAAACAAATCACACATGTTATTCTTTGTAATTACTCTATCTTTTGTACACAGGCTGGAGGTTTCATTCACCTTTTTTTAAATGTTTTCTTGTTTTTGCATATATCAATGTTTCATTTTTTGATTTTTTTAAGGGAAGACATTTTGATTTTTCAGAATCAGATGGGGTTTTGAGAGCAGAGGTGGAAATACTGAAATCAACTCACTTTTGTTTCTTAGTGGGAGGCCCACAGGAAACAGCAAAAACAAGTTTCCTCAGCCCAGACAAGTTTAGCAAGATAGTGTGAGCTGAGAGCTCAGACATATACACTGATCATCTGCAGGCCATGTATTTGATGAGCATAGAGCCCCTATTGTTGATGTGTACAAATCCCCCAGGAATTGTCACACTCATATTGCATAACCAACCAACTTGTCCTCAGTAGAAAAAAATTTACATGAATGAATGGGGGCACTCTTTGAGAAACATCATGGTGTGAATTCTCATGCCCATGAATCAAACAATTTTAAACAAATTGCATATAGCTTTTTTAAAAAAAAATTATTTGCTGATGGTGGCTTAGGTATAATCCTTTATCAGAAGGGACTGTCCTAAGTTGTGGTTGCACTATTAAGGTGATGGTGTTACATAGCTGCCTGCAGACCAGCCACATTTGTGTGTGTCCCTGACAGATACCTGAAGGTGACACTTCTTCCCATGATCCCGTCTGCCTCTCCTGTCACTGAGTCATGTCAACATTGTTGTTCTACCTCCAACCACTTTGCCACTTGAAAGGCTAAGTATGAGCTTCACTTCTTGCTTTTCCAGGCTAAGTTTAGTTCATGAGAGGCTGCTGAAATACAAACAGGTACCATGGAAATGGAGCTCACTGCAGTTGTTAAGGGTGAAGTCAAGGTCACTGACAAACAGCAGGAAATCAACAGCTGGAGTCACAAACACCATTCATATAAGAGCTTTGCAACATATGGGAACGTATCTGTAGCTGGTTACACTCACAGAGCATGGATGGATGGATGGATGGATGGATGGACAGATCCATGTCCAACACAATCCCCAGAATAAGCATGGAAGTACAGCTTTCCTTGCTGCTCATGCCTTCCCTAACTCCTACCAACAGAAAGTCTAATGAAGAGTAGTTATAATCTAGCATTTGCACACTCTTACAACTGAGATCTACATTTTTAAGCACAAGCCTAACCCTAACCCTTTTCTTCATTTGTCTGCCGACCTGTGGTTATACAAATCTCTCCATACTTTGTTTTTCATTAGACATTTATCCCTCAAGTAAAGAAGGGAAACAGAGTAAACAACTATGTCTGTGCTGCATAGAACTGGTAGAAATTATTGATTTTTTTAAGCAATGATTTAATCAATTTGCTTTTAAAAAGTTTTTGAAAGATTTGGATTCTTTATTATTACAATTTCCCCTTTTCCATGAAGATCTGGTTGTGGGGAAAATGTGTATAGAAGAATCCATTATTCCCTTCTTGCCTGGGGCTGCAATTATAATGTTAGGCCAGATAGTACCTATTACCTGCCTGCTTCCTGTTATTTTTGGAATGATCTTAAACAAGGTGAAAGTGCTTATTCAGGGTGTGGGAATAGGAAGGCTTTATTTCACTTATCCAAATATAAACTCTGTATTTAGCCAGTATTTTACATGACAAGCTAAGGACCAAAATCAATTCATCTTTATGTGAATCTTACAATAATGTCAAATAAGTTGGATGAGACCCTGAAATAACAAGAATTACACATCCTGTGGGAATCTGCAGATGTTGCATTGTCATTCTCAGCAAACACTGTACACCATGTGGCAGTGCCTGCAAGCACCTCTTTTTTTACTTTCTAACCCTCACAAAGTATTTACTGTTCACAGTCAAGTGTGTTATGTCTGTATGAGGCTCAGACTATAAATAGTCACATTGCTTATAACTGGAACAGATTGCTTGTTTGAGCATTGTCATGAAATAAAACTTTTTACATCAAAGCAACACATCCACCCTTTCACCAGCTAAACCTTTTTCCTTAATACTGCTGATGCAGAGATCACATTTAAACTGTATTGAAAGTCTGTCTGTGTTTTGCTTTTTGTTGCTGATGTAAAGTACTGTAAGAGACAAATTTAGCTTCCAGAGAGACAGGATAGCATAAAAATTAGCAATCTCTTTGGGGGAAACTGAATGTAGACCTAGTTTTACAGATTCTTCCCTTGCTGAAGGAAGTATATGCAATTATTTTGTCTTTCCTCAATTATTATTTTCCTTTCTTCATGCATATATCTTTATTATGGCTATATTTTTGTCCTCCATTCTCAATTAATTGATTTCTCCCTGGTTATTTACAACAGAAAAACATCTCAACAAGATTTCAATAGCTCTATTTGTGCCTTGGAAGCTTGAAAGCAATGTGACTAACCATGGGTTCTTTACTTCACATTGGTAAGTAATACAGTCTTCTACTATTTCACACCTAGCTTAGGATTCTTTTCAGAATGAGAGCATGACAGAGAGAAAAATAATTTCCTCTGGGTCTACACCTGAACAGAATATTTTTTAGAAAGATATGGTAGTTGCAAACAGGTTATAAAGTTTTAAATCCTGTAAACTTAATGTGTAATCACATTGAAGGCATTTGCAAACCCAAGCAATGATGTTCATTTGAACAATATTAATTTATTTCAGGAGCCTGAAAAGTCATGTAATGTGTACAAATGCAACTGCTCTAAGACTTACAAGTGAACTTCCAATACATTGACAGTGTTTTGGTTGGTCATAAATATGTGTTTATTTTCATCTTTGAGATACCAATATTTTGCTGCTATTTCTCTTGTGTGTCATTTCTGGAGAATAATCATGCTGTTCTCATTAGGGCAAAAATACAGGAAAATGATACAGATAATCCTTTTTACAAACAGCTTACAGCCTGAGAGAAGCATTTTTTTTTTCTGGTTGAAGAATAGTGACTTTTCAACAAACAAGAAGTTTTCTTAAAAAATTTGAAATCAATTGATCGCAAAATATCTCTTTTTTCCTCTTTGTTTTGAGAGGTGATATTTTTTTGTTGATATGCACTCAAATATAATATGTCAAGTCTGCTTTAAAATACTGGAAATGGTCATGTCTTTATTGCAAGGTGAAGAGCTCATACAAGCACACAGTAGTTGCTAAGTCCCTGTATTTTTGTAAACTGGCAGGCTTCCTCACCTGCCAAGGGGAAAAAACCCCCAGTACCACACCCAGGCCTTTTTAAGACACTTCCCTCAGGCACAGTTCATTACCTGAAATGCAAACTCTACCAAGCAGCAAAACACAAGGTATTTCCCCTGACTATGGCCTCTACAATAAGGAGTCCACAGATCCAGTTGAGTTTCTTGGTCCTTAGCAGAACTCACTTGATGACTTCCCCTTTGCTCAAATAAAGGCTCAGAAGTGGCTGGTTCCAGTGCTCCTCTCCCACCTCCTCAGGCTCAAAGTGGCCCTTGGTTATTTGCCTCCTCTTCGCTATATTTCACTTTTTTTAATACGATCTTGTGTTTCCACAGATAACATCCATTGAGTTTTTCTCACTGCCTGAGAACATAGATAAGAAATTTGCTATACCTATTATTATCTTTTGTTGCTCAGCTCATGGTTTCTCTAGCAGTAATAGGGTATCTAACACAATTTACTCCACTGGAACTCAATGTAAAATTTTGTGCTTTTGTTCTACCAAAATTCTCTTATTTATACATTTTGCTGGTCTGGTTAGTGTCAAGTCAATTCATGAAAGGAAATGCAATTATCTTTATTGACTTCCTGGAAGTTTGAACCAGGGCCCAAAAGAATTTTTATAAAAAGATGACCAGTATCTTATAGCTGGACAATATTAGTAGCATTCTGCTGTAACTTTTATTGGCAATGAAATGCAGATTTCCTCATGAGCACAGATGAACTAAAGTGTAGTAGGAATATTTTCTGTTACTATTGCAAAGGATGCCCTTACTCATCCTGACGGTAGTAACATTGCCAATCATTCTAAGCTTTCCTTTAACAGAATTATGTGACTGATACAGAGGGCTGGCATTGCATCATAGCTGTAAATTATAACCTCAAATATTTGAAATCCAGCAAATTACAGATGCATCTACCTAATGCTTCACCAGAATAAGGATTTTGAGTGGCATGTAGACATTTTTTTATTAAATTTATTGCTACAGGATTAAAACGCATTCTGGATTAAATTTCACTTAATACACTTTTATACCTTGCAAAGTAGATGATAGTAACTTAATTCACTCACTATAAAACCTGCAGAGTGTCAATTATTAAATACTGAATAAAAGTAATTTCAGTAAGTCCTGAATATCCTACAGTCAAATTGAAGTAATGTGGATAGTCTTTGACAATTTCCATTAAATACTTCAGACTACAGGAATAGTTTATGTTAAATAAAGAAACTATTCCACAAGTAGCGGTGGGATGAAACGTGGATTCTTTTGCACTGTATCTGTTGTCCCCTAACTAATCTTCACAGCTGTAACCAGAATTGTCTCTATTTCTCTGTGACCCATCACTGGGTCCACACTATGACTAATGTGAAACTCTGCGTATACACAATGCATGTAACATCCACTTTTTACATGTTTCTCCATCTGAGGGAGCACTAATTTGAGTCCCCCTTCTGCATATTGATACTGAATTTATGATGATTAAATATATTAAAATACACGGTTTTTCATAAATTTTGCTTCTGTAAAAGCTTTCAAATCCTTCCCCACTAAAAGGCTCCACAAAATTACTAACGTAGAAGGAAAATTAAGTTCATTCTTTATTTCTATGAGTGCAGGGCAAAGAGAGACTGTTGCTGCAGGGACTCTCTCAATTCAAAGATGATGTAGTTGATATTATAAGTCAAAGGTGCTAGCCTCTGGTGTTAGACAGGTATTGTCTGTAGGAATGATTGGCGCAAGGTACCAGTATGAAGTATTCTGGGAAAATATTTTATCCATAGTAGAGAGACAGAAAGAACCATTGTGTTCATGCACGGTTTGTGAAAAAAAAATAATGTTAACTGAATTTGGCTTACACTACAAGGCCGTTGTGTCTTTCAGGGAATTCATTCCACGGATACAAACATAAAACTCATGTGGACTTCAATACAAAGATGAAAGCACCTGAAATCAGCAACAAAATCATGTAAAAAAATTATAATTTTAAGAACATTAAGCAAATGTTCATATAGTTAACTTGTCCTCAGAGATAGCTTACAAAGTGAGACTATTCTTTTGGACAGTTTGTTTTGAGATACCATGATGTTTAATTAGAATATCCACATCAGTTCAGCTTTGGACATCAATATTAAAATATTGATTCATAAGGCCTAAGCTATGTTTGCTTTTATAAAGCACAGATATGAAAATTGGGGAGATGAATAAGATACTGCCAGTTAAACTGAAATCAGGCTGTCACCCGTGAGGTAGCTGCTGCAGCACCCTAAGACCAAAAGCTTACATGCTGTTGTTCATAATATGTAGTGTACAAACTTGGAAACTTTGGACTGGTAATTTTATTTTTTAATTGGTGCTTCTCCTTCACACTTTGTGGCTTAATGTTTTCCTATTATCGAAGTCTTGCATATTTTAAGCACCCACCCAATTCTGTGGTATTAAGTATTTTTTTTTTAAGGTCTGAGTGACAAGTACATTGATATAAGTGAATCATCATTTTGCAGGCATAAATTCTTATCAGATCGGTTTTCTCATAGATTTATACATTTAAGACAGTGCATCTGCCATGAAAGATTAGCTCATGGAAGATAGGACACTGTTCTAATAGCAAGTGATAGAATTTTATACTTTAAACATGTGAAACAAACTAGATAGTAAATGAGCATCTTGTTAAGTAGTTTCCGGTTATCAGATAAAAAGAAAAAATGGAACTAAAAGGATATTATTGCATAGATTATTGCAAGATTTCCATTCCCTGCTAGAGTCTCTGCTTTGTGATGAAGGACTGCATTTGACTCTAGGATACACCAAATATAACCAGAAGACAAAGCAAAAAATGCAAAATAAAAGAGCATCTGAAGTGCATAATATCATGTGATTTCAGGATGAATTAGCAATACCTGCTATGGGATTCTTCAGTGTGCAGTACATGAGAATCATTTGAAAGATAAAGAGGGATTGATAATTTTTTGAAGAATCACCCCTTGAAAGTGAAATTTTTGAGGCGAGAGGAAACAAAGACTTTAGTCAGACTGACGTATAGTATCAGTCTGAATGAAGCCATGTTTCTTATTCATCAAATGGTGCTTCCTGACACATTTAGTAACACCATATAAATCTTTTCAACCTGATGTATCCCAGTTTTACAGACTCACTTCTGAGTCTCACATGCGAAGAAACGTGACTCAGAATAACCATGGAGGTTAACCATGAGAGAGGCAAGTACAGGGGGTTTCCCTGACTCAATAGCCCAAAATATATAGTTGGGTTTGTCAAAGGCAGGTCTGAAAAATCTAAAAGTGCAGAATACGGAAAACAAAATCAGAGTAATTCTAACATAATTCTTGGACTTTAACAAGCTGCTTTCTCAACAAGCTAAATATTATTGTGCCTCCCAGAAGCACATGTCTCAGCATTTGTTTTTCATTTAACGTCATAAGAAGAAATCAGTAGTGGAATGTCTTAGTAGATTTGTGTCATTAATCACTCCATACAGAAAAGTGATGAATTTCTCAAACTATATTTACCCTGTTTTGATTTGCAGCTACAGATACTTGTGTATTTGCAGCTACAGATACTTGTGTAATGTCTCTCAAAAGACATTTTCCAGGATCTAAGGTTGGTTTGTTGTTTTTTTTTTCCTATGGATGAAGTAGAAAAAGGTCTCACTGCTGTTACTGAAAACTTGATTGCATCTCTATGTCCAGTCATTACAGACAAATTGATGCAGTCACAGTTTATGGCAGTAGCCAGGATCCATGACAAACTTTTAAAAGTGCTTCATAAATTGATGTATATAACCACACACAACAGAATGCTGCCTTTATGCACTATAAATATATATATATGTCATTATAAATTGCTTTAGTGTGGACATGTGCATTATATTCAACCAAGTCATAATGACAGCCTTCTGTTTTGTTTCTTCCTTAGGTCTTCAGCTCCCTTGATTTATCCTGTCAGTCACCTGTAGCAAGAAAATATACTGAATCTCTAACATGAAAATTTTCATACTTCTCAGAATTCAAGGGTCTAAACTGTTTAAATCTTGCTAACTTTTTAGCCATGATCATTTATTTTGCTCATGAACTTTGTAGTGTAATTCTGTGCTAAATGAAAATTGTCTACTTTTAACTGTTTAAAATTAGCCTTCTTTCAGTTTCAAGGAAATTGAGAAAAGCTGTTACTATGAGAAAAAAAAAACAAAACAAAACCCAATGGTTATTTCTCAGCCACTCCTAGTATAAACTTTGGCCAGGTTTCATTTTATACATCTCTGTAAGACAAACTCTTAATCCTTTTCATCTTTCTTCATATAAGAAATTTCCAATACCCCTGATAATTTTCATCACTTATCTCTCTCTGTACCAACAATAAACTTCATAGACCAACTAGAAGTGAATGACACTCTGTTGTAATAAAATATTATTTTTATTCAGGGGTAAAAACCAATAGATACTAGGTTTTCACTGAGTGCTTCACAGTGGCTTTAGCTACCATGCTCTTGGCATCCATGCTCGAATTTGAACTCCTCTTGTCCCAGCTGTGCAGTTCAAGGCAGTTCCCCTCCTTGCAGAGACTGAACTTCCCTTTCTGGGCCAATATTTGGGTCATGGCAGATGAGAAGCAGTCTGAGAGCCAGCAGGGAGGCAGCATGATAACAGGGGAACTTGGGATTGAAATCAAAGAGTCTCAGAAAGTATAGATACACCCAAAGTCACTGAAATACTTTATTCCTTATTGTAACAGGAAGTTTAGATACTTGTGAGGAACACAAATGTGGTTGACTTGGCAGTGTTAGGTTTATGGCTGGATTAGACTCAAGAATCTTAAAGGTCTTTTCTAGTAATAAAGATTCTGTTTTAAACTATACAAATAGGTCACTTTTCCAGATTAAATTGCCATTACATTACTGTTTGCCATCAGCTGCCATCTAATTTAGCAGTTAATAGGTCCTGTTGAAACTGTGTAAGGTCTTGACTTAACATAAATCACTCATATGTGAAACTTGTTCTGCATTCATCCATTCCCAAAGAAATAATAAATATATTTAACAAGCTCATTCATACTGTGGAAAATTGGAGACACTTGCTATTTACCATATGTACAAAATGATAATTTATTAATACTCTGTTTTCTAACTTTTAAATCAGCTTCTGACTACATGACATCAAAAAGATTTATTTACTGGCTCCAGTTCTTTTGAGCTAGTCAGATCATTAAGCAGCTGGAAATGTGTTTAGTAACATTGATAATATCTATATTTTAGAACTTAACACCCACACCTGGTAGTGTGGTAAAACATCTGGAATGATGCTGTTTTTTTTCCCAGACCAGCCCTTGCTTGACTTTGGTTTAAAAGGACAATACCATATTGAAATAGACTGAATATTTTGTAACTAAGACTACTAAACTATGAAAAAGATTGGCAGTTTCACTTTAAGAAGAAATAACATCATATGAAACACTTTCCATTTAGCTAAAATGAAATTATTAAATATTTTATCAACTGATTCTTACAGTTACAAAAAAAAATTCATGGTGCTGGGGCTGGGAGTGCCTGGCAGATTGCTGAAGAAAAGAGGATTACCAGAAATGCTGCCACCTGGATTGAGACTGACGATCTTGGTCACTTCATAAGGCACACACCTTAAAGTAATATATAATCTCAGTGGGCAGGAAGGAAATGAATGCCAGAAGTGACCTGGTTAGTCACTCCTCAGTCAGAGCTGCCGGAGCCAGACTGACGAGCTTCTCTGATGGTGCTTTAGTTGTTGCTGAAGGAACCTCAGAATTAAGAAAAGGCAAGGAATAATCACAGTATATTTATGACTCTTTGAAGATACTAGATAATATGAAATAATTGCGCTCCTGTAAGAAATTGTTGTCTTTGGGTTATTTTTCTTAGGTCTTGTATGATATAGCCTATTACACTTTAAATGAAGAAATGCAGCAACCTTTTAAGTTCACTGTTGATACCATGGAAAGACTACATAGTATATCATTGACTTCATTTGGCTTACCCTTTATATTTTTACAACTGTTATTTATTTTCCTGTTTTGAACTAATTTTAAAATCTTGAAAATAATGTTATATTTGACAATCAAGCAAATGAAAGGAGCATTATATCTGTGGAGGTCACAGTCACTGAAAATCAAGAGAATTAATAAAAAAAATTCAAAAGTGAAAAATTTATTATTTGGTAAGCAGCTGGTGATTTATATAAAAAGCATCAATAAGAAGGATAAAAGAAATATCTTCACAACACAATGGTCAGGTGTGAGAAATGAGAACTGTCACTACCTGAAAGAAAAAACAAAACCAAAACCAACCTAAATTTACATGATTAATATGTACTGGAGTTTTTGACATTTGAAGAACAGGATTGAAATAATTCCAGAGGCTGGAAAGTGTGTATTTTAAGTAAAGCTGTTTGAGGTGGACTGGCAGGATGCTCTATAACTGTAGTGATACAGTGTCTCAAGTTACTTCACTGAAGGCTCAGAAAGCTGAAATCAGGCTTTGAATTTAGAAGTGTGCTACCCAGGCCGTAGTAATTATGGATGACAGCAAGTCTTCACTTTAGTATCTTTGACTCATGTCAAGAGATTGGGACAGATAATGATTAGCACAACTACTATTAAACCTCTGCTGCAGAGAACATTTGGGACACTAAAGGCCAACAGGATAACAGTATCAGAAATCTTTGTTTCCAATTCTGTTTTAATCCTAGCCCTGTATGAAAGTCATTTTATAGAGCCTAAGCCTGTTCAGCTGCATGTACTTCTCTGTAGAAATGAGTTAGAAATATGCAAATAACATAAGGAAACAATCTGCACCTTTGCATATTATTTGTATATGAACACAAACTTTTGGCTTATGGTGAATACTCCCTGTCTGTGGTGGTGACCAGGAAGGATGTGGAGTGGTAGATAGTGACAATTTTGGCATGTGGGCAAGGACAAGACAATAGTTAGGTGGCATGTACACAAGCAGGGCATGTGATTGTAGGGATGTGTGGCTGTGAGCTGGGGTATTGGAGAACACCTGAAGCACACAGGTGGCTGGAGGGGGACTCAATTTCTGGTATTGTCAAGACTGGATGAAAAAGATGGTAAATAAGTTATTGAAGGTCTCAAAGATGAAGACACCTGACTTCAGAAATATTAATGGCATCATCTGCCTAGCAGCTCCTGAGTCTATAAATGAATGCAGGTATCTGGGGAACAGTTGGGCTTGCAGATGTAGAAACAGATTCTGTCAGAGCTGGAGCTTGTAAACTGGGATCTCCATCCCAACTCCCTTTCTCACCAGAGCTTAAGGTCTTTTCTGCTTGTCCTTCCCTGTCTGCCCCAGCAAGGCAAGTAGCTGTAGGAACATTCCTCAGGTATCTGAACCCTTGGCAGTGCAACTGCTCCTGCAGGCTGAAACTTGGCATTAGACAGTGTCACAGTAATGTGCCAATGTAGTCAGATCAAGGCTTCATGGAGCCTAATGCTCTGACATTTTGCTTCTTAACACTGCCAACAATAATGCTAATTATTACTTGCATTGCTTGCATTTACCTACAGCAGCTCACCTAAGCCTGGCCACTAGTCAGCCCCTGGATTGTAAAGGCTATGCATCATCAAAAGCCAGGTCAGCTGGAGCTGTTTCAGATCCAGAATTGAGAAAGGCCTTGTCATTAATTTCAAAGCCTTTCAAACCCAGTTCCTGTGGTGGTACACAGAAAAAGTACACTTCTTCCTAGTGTTTTTAAATAAGCATACCCTTGGTGAATTTAGACCTATGTAGAATGCTCCCTTTTAACCAATGATGCAACTATTTTTGAGTAAGTTTTAAAACACTTGCTTACATGTAAAATTTCCCATTTTTGGCTTGAACCAAACTCATAAATTGATAGAAAATGGCACCTCTTATCTAGTTTTTCCTCGTAACTCGCATTACTAAACAGACAGCTACTTCAGATAAGACTATGCTACTAGACCCTGCAGAACCACAACGTTTGTTCGGGTTGGAGGAGGCCTCCAAGATTATCGAGACCAAACTTGGGCTGGTCCCCACCGGGTCAGCTACACCACAGCTCCAAGTGCCACCTCTCGTAGCTACTCGGTCGTACCGGGGCCGGGGCCGGGGCCGGGGCCGGGGCCGTCGCTCCTCCCG